TTTGGTGAGCTGAAAGTCTGTGGTTGAATCTTCTTTAAGTGACTTCTCATTTTATTTCTTTTTTTTTTTCTAAATTTGAATCCTGAGCTGATGCTTGTATGTTGCTTATGGCGAGTAGCTTTATTGCCAGTATTCATAACCCTTAAGAAATAACTACTTCTCAGAAGCATCTTCCAGGAGTAGCTAGCTTTTGGGTTTTGAGTTTGTTGCAGGATCCTACCTCTTCAGTATATTGGGGATGAGAAGTTTCTACCTACTTGGTCCAGCTACAAGTTCTTTGGCACTGGTCTATAGGGTTTTTTTTTGTTTTTTAAGACCCTTAGGTAATCTCAGTCTTGGTATAACAGGAGGAACAACTGATTAGCACAATTATGTCATCTTGGCTAAAGTAGTATAAGGAGCAATAACAATAGCATCAAATAGAGCCTAGAAAATGACAAATTGTGGCCCTTAGTATGGCTTTTTCACCCTTAGGGGAGAAGATTTAAAAGGGATTAGGGGGTAAAAAAAAAACAGAAATAGAAGAAGAGAAAGAGGTCAGAAGCAAGGCTGGAGGACAAACTTTAGGAAACTGGTGAAGAAGACAGGTGGGAAAGAGAAAAGAAAAAATAAAAACAAGGACAGAACAGAAGAACAACAAAAAAACAGAAACTGTGTTCAAACAATCAAGAAAAAACTAAACAAAACAAGAACTAGAAAGGAGGAAAAACAGAAAGAAAAAAGAAAAAAAAATCCCAAAACATCCAATTCAAGGTGTGTCTCTGCTGTCACTGTTAGCCAATGTGGGCAAACAGAAGCCAGAGCCAAATTGATTAATCCTAGTAAGCTAGCTGCAGCTTCATGGTGGGATAGTGGATAATCTCAGACAGCCTGCCCCTTTAGTTCCTCTGAAATTCAGGCCAGTTTCTGGTTATGAGGCTGGAACCAGATTTTTTGAGCCTACAACAGTCTATGTGTCTCCTGCTGGCTTGAACTCTGCTCCCTGACCTCCTACTGACTTGAACTCAGAACCCACACTGAGGCACCAGAAGCCACTAGATGGAGTCTGCCCGCAACTGTTCTGAATTCCAAGCTCAGTTGGCTTCTCTTCAAGATGGCTCCCAGCCAGTCACTCTCTCCTGGGTGAAGTCTGCCTTCATTCAATTTTGAACTGCAGATTTTCTTCTCTTTCTCTGGTTAAAGGAAGCTCTTTTCTGATCTCACATAATTCTTTTCATGCCTGCCCACCCTGCATTTAACGATGCTGCTGTGTGCTCAAGCAATTTTAAGAACATGAACTAGAAATTTTCTGAAGTTTTCTCTAATAAGTCATGTACTTATTTGCTCTGATTCTCAAGTCTTCTCCTATTTTGAACTATAATAATACATTTTATTGGGCTGTTAGATTTGCATTTTTCTTTCTTGCTTATTTCACGATGGAATCTTTTGCCTATTCAGTGTCAGGTATTACCCTGTGGTTTTTTTTTGGAAACAAATATGAGTCATTGTTTGACTGAAGTTCAGAAGAAAGAAAAAGGAAAAAGGCTTAAGTTTGTAGTAGATTCATTTACTAATTAAAAATTCATCTTTCTTTGAGGGCTGCAGAGGGAGTCAGCGTCTACTTCAGAAGTAATCAAATGAAAGTTTGCCTCAAACTAGACTTTCTTTTAAGTATTTGGTGTGGCTCTCAGTAATTAGCAAAGTCATTATCACTTCTTCGCATGGCTGCCCTCCTCAGAAGCCAGCTAGTAGCATTCTTTTCTTTTATGTTTGCTGAAGCCTTCTTCATGCCGTATGTAAATCAGTAGTAAATGCAGCCAGAGATGACTTACTTGGTTTGCTTCTGAATCCAGAAGACCCTTAAAAGAGTTATCCTATTTTGAAGGTACCCATCTCTCCCCTGGCTTAGTTCCCTCTAGCCTTAATCTCTTTGAAATGAGGATATCACTCCAGGGTATTCTCATTTGTTTATTTTCTGTATATGTAGTTGCAGTGTCTCATGAAGAGAGCATTGTGCTTTAGTCCCTTTTTTAACCACCCATGCCGATTTTTTTCCAGTTCATACTTCTGGAGGTTCTAGCAATAGTAGGATCTATCTGTAGTTTCTAGTGCCGATTCAGGATATTTCCTATTTTTAAACCCAATTGGTCATTTCTCCAGTAATCTGAGACAGAGGAATGAAACTATATAGCTTTCTTTTTTGGGAATTGTATTTTTTTCTAAAATTTTACTTTTTTCCCTCTGTGGTGCTGAGATTTGAACCCAGGGGCCTCCACAAGTGGGGCAAATGCTCTACCCCTGAACTACATCTTCAACCCTTCTAAAAATGTACTTTTAAATGTCCATCATCCTTGCTCATCCATTTTTACTTGTACACATTTTTTGTTATTTTAATGATAGTCTAGATATAATTTCACACTAGACTTTTATATTAGTTTTCATATCATTCCTTATTTTCATGACTTTTTCTTATAACATTTTTGTGGTAAAATGTGATAACATGAGAGGTGCTGTTTTTGCCATTTTTAAGTATACAGTTCAGCAATACTAACTACACTCACAGTGTTGTGCCACCATCACCAGTATCCATCTCCAGAACTTTTTCATCAGACCAAGCTGAACTTCTACCATTCTGAAATACTAACACCCCGTTATTTTCTCCTCCCAGCCTGTGGTAAGCTGTTTTGTACTTTCTAGCTTTATGAATTTTTATGTCTGTATTTTGTATATGTGATTTGAACTATAGGGGGGAAAATAATGAGATAACTTAGCCTATGGTTCAGAGAATGCATGAATAGTTCAGTGAATAAATAGATGAAAAACTCATGTGTATGACAAGCACTAGAAGTAGTTTGATGGTTTGGCAAGATGGTATAGATAACAAGAGATGCTGAAGAAAATGAAAAGGAAGAAAAGAAGGGACAATAATCATGACCCAAAGGCAGCTGGAGAAGCTGATGCTAATGAGGTAAACCCGCATTGCTTTGGTTTTCTGTGGCTGGAAAAGTTTTGGAGTTCAGGAAAAGGAAATGTAGTTTTAGGTTGATGGCAATTTGGCAGAATTGCAGGAAAGATCTCAGGTACTTGGAAGAGTTCAAAGAAGTGTGTCTTTTCTTCAAAGTTCTTGAGCAACACTGTAGTTGACCATCTAGGGCTCTGGTAAAGCAGAGGGCTAGCATGCCAAAGTGAACCAGCTCAGTCTACTAGACAGTGAACGGGCATTGTTACTTAGGATATTGTCTTTTTGTCATCTTGTCTAGTTAGCCCATGATTTATGAAGTTTTGTAAATAAGTTGGAAAGTAAATGGGTTTCATAGATGTAATTTTGAGACAGCACTCCCAAGAATGCTGATTTATGACTTTAAAATAATGTGGTTTGCTCCTTGTTTTTGGCAAAGTGAAATAACCATACACTTTAAGAGGGATTCTTTCTTTCTTTCTTTCTTTCTTTCTTTCTTTCTTTCTTTCTTTCTTTCTTTCTTTCTTTTTGTATTAAATTCTTTTA